TCTAATTTGTTAAATTTAATTAATAATATTGCTTGTAATCTGTTGCAGTATATTTTTACAGTATATATTTGGACAAAACTTTGATATATATTCAGACCAGAGAAGCACGGTATCCTCCTAAATTATACAGTCCCTTTTAAAAGTTTGCGGTCAGGGCTATTTTTAGGAAATTAATACAGCAAGAATGCATTAAATTGATCAAAAGTAACAGTAAAGATATTTTTAAAGTTACTAAACATGTCTGTTTCATACTGTTCTTTTGAACTTTTCATTCACCAAAATATTAATATTAAACATTGATTAATGAGAAATATTGAGCAGCAAATCAGCAAATGTGACACTGAAGACTGGAGTAAAGATGTTGAAAATTCAGCTTTGTTCACAGGAACATTTAAAAAAAAAATATATATATATATATATAAATTGTCATAATATTCCGCAATATAACTGTTTTACTTCATTTCTGATCAAATAAATGCAGCATTGGTGTGTATAATAAGAGATACTCAAACTTGACCGGTAATGTCTGTTAGCCAATCATAATCATAATATAACACAAAGGGTCATTTATGTAGCCTATAACATCCATAATCCTGCTCTTTTGCCATGGTAACAGTGGCTTCTTTCTGATTGGTGGAGCTCCTCACACCTCTTCACTATTTAATATGATTGTCAGAAGTCTAGAAGTTTACACCATCGCTTAACAATCTCAGAGCTCACAGTAGGTCTGCGCTGAAGGCTAGTTTATACATTATCACAAAAAATCTCTTTCTCTATGGAGTAAATGAATGGGATTTTTTACCTCAGAACCCCGCTGTTGCGCTTTATTTGTATGCAGACACCATCCTGCGATATAACATTAATATGTAGCAAACGCTGCTTCATAAATCAAACGCTGCTGATGATAATCTGCTTGTGATTGGGCAGGTGTGCCGGTGTAAAGATGAAAGTTTTAAGTGTTGTGAATGTGTATGGGTAGGGTTACCTGCTCTCTCTCTCTCTCTCTCTCTCTCTCTCTCTGTGTGTGTAATGTGGGTGGACTCGCTCTCTCTGTAATCAATCATTCTTACCTGCCCAGCTGAGCTCAAGCCTCTGTAACTGGGAGAAATCCGACAGCTTAGATTCGCTTTATCACCGCTGCGTTCTCTCGCTCTTCTCATATGATTTCTTTCTTTTTTTCCCATTTTTTCTTTTATGGTTTAGCATTATGTTTTCATCCCTCAATGACCTCCATTTAGACTGGCGTGCACACATACACACGCTTTAGATTTCCATGTTTTAAGGGGACTTTCCATAGACAATGATTTTGATGCTGTACAAACTGTATATTCTATCCCCTAAATAATCGTCCTGCATTTTTAGATAAAAAAACACATCATTTAATTTGATTTATATGCTGTTTTCCTTATGGCAACCAAAAATGTCCAAGGACAAGTTGTAATCTCACGCACACATCAACATCAACCTTTAAAAAAACCTTTTTTTCTGATATACTCGTGTTATGCAATATATATATATATATATATGATAAATAAATAATACTTTTTATTAATTTAACATCCAATACTGATCCTAGCACACCCTCTGACTTCCTTTTGATGTAACTTATGTTATTGAAATGTAAATGATACATTCCTGATATAATACACAGTATTAAAAACAGTTTATATGTTTAAGATCTTTTGTTTTAACTTTGAAATCTCTCCTTTTGAAATGATTTGAGAGATGATTTTCAGCAGTCCGTTGGACAGTGATGTTTGCCAAATGAATGCAAGTTTGCATTTTAAAACTCAAGTTTTCCTGCATTTCTGTTCTAGTGCGAGTGTGTTTCACATACAGAGAATTATTGCCCGTCAGCTTTGATTGATGGTGGTTAATTTAGCTTCTTTGCGTCTCTCATCGCAGGAAAGACTGTGGAGAGACACAATAAGATCAGTGTTTTCTGTCCTGTGTCTCTCTCACTGTCAGAGAAGAATTAAACACTGTAAGTCTAAGGATAACAAGAGTGCTGTTTCGCTCCTGAATAAATCAGTTTTTATAACTAGCTAGTCGAGGGAGTGATTCATATAACTCACTCATATAGTCAGCCGCTGTGTCCCAAATAGAATAGTTCTATGTAGTACACGAAAAAAATATTTTATATTGCTAATATTGAAGACACCCTGATGTTAACAAGCAGAATCACTGAAAGAGAAAACCATAATTTTAATTAGAGCACGACCGATAAAGGATTTTGAAGGCCGATACGATACAAATGTTTGTTGGTTTTAAAATCCGATATTCCGATATATCGGCCGATATTTTTTTTTTTTTCAGAAACACGCAACAAAACATTAACAGATTTCCCTAACATTAGTTATTTGTAGTTATTAATGAGTTTTAACTAAAATAATATGACAATGCATTTTAAAAAGAAACTTGTTTCTTTTATTGTCACAACAGAACAGAGGAACATCAAAATATATTAAAGTTCTGATAAATAAAATAATAATTAGTCCCTACATTGCCTTATAAGCTACCTGCAACCTGGATCAGCAGGTTGCAGGATGTGTGGCGCGTTATACACGAGTGTTGCCAAAAGGGACGTTGTAGAGTGCCCTCTAGTGGACAAATTATATAACTCCAACACTTATGACATGGTTGAAGCGGTTTTCGTCCGTTTTTATTTTTTAAATATTCATTTATCGGCCATTATAACTGCCGATACCGATAGTTTTGAAAATGCCTAATATCGGCTGATAATATCGGCCTGCCAATAAATCGGTCTGGCTCTAATTTTAAGTCACCATTATGGTGATCAATGTGTGTTTTAGTTGGGCTCTTGACCCTTAAGTCATTCACTTTAAGTTTTGTTTGGCTGATATACCTGAGTTAAACAGTCAGATGAACAAATAGTAAAGGTTATCTGATGGTGTTGGTTATGTGTTAACATAATATTTTTTTTCACAATCATTTGACTGGTTAACTTTTACTTAAACAGTGAGCCAACAGAGTAATGTGTCAATACACTAGAGCCAGACCGATATTATCGGCCGATATTAGGCATTTTCAAAAATATCAGTATCGGCAGTTATAATGGCCGATAAATGAATATTTCAAAAATAAAATAAAAACGGACGAAACACTTTTCAATCATCTCTCCTTGGCCTGTTATTTTGAAAATGTATGTTTTACAATTTTCAGTATGATGTTATCTATGGCTAAGTTATGGCTCATCACAGACTAGCTAACCACAAAGCTAGCTAATGCCACTATCATCAGTGGAGGACCGCTAACGTTAACATTAATGAGCTTGGAAACCACAATTAACTTTTTCTGCCTAAATAAAGTAATGATTACTAAATTTATAACTAGCATATCTCTAGTTACAGTCCCTGCATTGTAAAATGTAAGTTAGACTTGCGAGGAGTGAACATTTAGACATAGAGGAAAAGTATCAAACGTATCTTGTGCATAAAAGTTAGCTTTTCTTTTACACGTGTGTGAAATCCAATGACACAAAGTGTGTGTTGCAGACTGTCGTTCTGTAATGGATTTAGAATCGCTAAATAGTAGGTTTTAGAAGGCAGGCAGCAAATGATGATTGAAAATGGTTTGATGTACTGTAGCTTGATGGAAAGAATTTAAAAAGTGCAGGTAAAGGAATAAGCAAGCTGACATTATAAGGTAGCTTATAAGGCAATGTAGGGACTAATTATTATTTTATTTATCAGAACTTTAATATATTTTGATGCTCCTCTTTTCTGTTGTGACAATAAAAGAAACAAGTTTCTTTTTAAAATGCTTTATCATATTATTTTAGTTAAAACTTTTAGTTAAATAAATAACTACAAATAACTATGTTAGGGAAATCTGTTAATGTTTTGTTGCGCGTTTCTGAAAAAAAAAATATATATATATATCGGTCGATATATCAGATTTTAAAACCCAAAAATATTTGTATCGGTATCGGCCTTCAAAATCCTTTATTGGTCGGGCTCTAGAATACACATATTGAAAAAACAATAGGCAAAAAAACTCGGATGACCTACTAATTCCAGCGAGATTCTGGAGTGTGCATTCGATGAACTGCGCCATCACCACCCCTATTTGAATCGTTTGTCCCTGAAAGTCCCCAAAGTGTAGTTTTGGTGGTGTGGTATAAACCCACACACTCACACTTGCTTTTCTATCATGGTGGGGATTTTCGAACTGATTGTTTTTATACGGCACTAATAATATTTTCTATCCCCTGCTCCTAAAGCTAACCCTTAGCATTTTTATATTTCCATGAAGACATTATTTAGTATGTTTATTAAGTCGTATCCTCACGGGCGCAGTTTACACAACCGATTTCAGGTTTTACTATCCTTGAGGGGACATTTGGTCTCAATAATGTAGGCAAATCTTGACTCACACACATACACACCTTATATACATGATACGGGCTGCACTAGAGGGGTAGTGTGCGAGTCACCCATGATGTAAATGTCACGGCGAGCAGCATCGGCGGTCGGCCGAGACCGATTCCCGCACCGCTCCGATGATGTGGCTGGGAAATGAAAGCTTGCACATCTCAGGCGATGCTGCTTGCGGTGCAAAAACCCTCACGTCCCGCTCGCTTACGGTTCCTGTCAGTCTCCAGACAACACTCGGGTAGTTTCACGGGTCTCCGAGCGGTTCACATCGATTTAGGCTTGTGTGTGAACACCCTAAATGAACTGTGTAGTTCGCTTACGAAGTGCCAAATATAGAACAAGGACATCTGCTCTGTGATGTGACAACAAGCCCAAAGCATCATCTACCGGTAGAACTGATCGCCTACTCTGTAAGACGACCTCTGGCTGCTAATATACTTCCATAAATGTGTTTATGACTCTCAATTACTGCCATTGCTGTCAGACTGTTCATGCATTTAACAGAGACGGAGAGCTCAAGACGACAGAATTACAAGGTACGGTGATGAAAGTTGCTTTCGGTTGTGTATTTAGTGTTAGTAAGTGGCAGAGCTGAACTCTTACCTGCAGTAGCCAGTAACAGCGGCGGTGGAACGTGGGAATGATGGAGGAGTGGACATAGCAGCCATACAGACACTGAAATAAAACACAGAGCACAGCGTCAGTTAAGCACTGACACACAAACATCAGACAGACAGCAGTCTCAGGGTGTGTTCACACTTGTAGTTCGATTCGCCTGGTCCGCTTAGAGTTCACGTTGGCATTTTAACACTGAACCTAAAGACATAAGGATCTGTTCACAACCTGATTGGTTGGTTTTACTTATATTTAGTTACAGAACTTACCGAACATCCAAAAAAGCTAAATGCACTCGTGGTATCCACAAGTTTCCTACGCCCCATGAGGCCTTGCGTCAAAAGTGGGCGCGTCTTCAGGTTCGAGGTAAACAAAGCGCGACTTGACATACTTCACACTCGTTCATTCAACAGTTGACAGTCATTCAAGTTATAGCGATCCAAACTAGCTAACGATGTGGGAACACAACCTCAACGAAATTAAAAAGGGTGAAATAACAGTACCTTTACCCTCTGCAGTTACTTAGGTGGGAGTATTATAAGAACATTATTAATAATCAATACCCATCAAGGCATGGTGACAGACAGTTGTGCGAGCTGACAAACAATTAAAATAAAAAATACACACTTAGTCATTGTGCTTTGGAGTTTATTCAAAATTACTGTCAAAATGAATGTGCTGCTTGAATACATTAACTGGCACATTTGGTATTCTGTCAACACAGGCTTTGATCCTTTAGGAGTTTAGGTGTAACATCAGTAGCGAACAGCCAAACACATGCTGATAGATTTTATAGAATATTAAGAATTTAAACAAATGTACACAGGAAGATTCGTCGTCTTTTGGGAGGTGATGGAAACTAACGTTACAGTCGTTGGCAGGATCAGAGACGGGCTCTGGCAGGATCACTCTAATTTCGTTTTCGGCTTATGTTCAAAACAATCACGTTTAAGCCACTGAATTAGTTTAGTCCGGTTATACATACAACCCCGAACAGCACATGTTGTCCCTGAGCTCCGTAACGACATCTCTCATAAAGATTTGCGTCTTTAAATAGTAAAATAATTCTCTGAAAAACAGCTAGCCTCTTCGCTAACTAACACACAAAACACCATTGGAATGCTACTTCCGCCGCGTCACCGGAAGTTTCGCCCACTTTATTTTTTACAGGAGCGCCCCTCGGAAACTTGTGGATAGCCTGTATGATGGGATTTTGACTAGCTGAGAACTCGAGAAGAGCTTATAAAATGTGCAAAAGAGTCAAAACCGCAGCGGGAATCCCTCCGTCACACACACAAACGAAGATCTGGTTCTGACGTGGTTCTGACGCCCGTACCGAACTGTGATGGCCAAAATAGCAACTATGACAAGAAAAAACAGAGCATTCTGTCCTTTTTAGGGTCATATCTTGTGACATCATGTCCTGTTTTTGCTTCGTTTACATGTCTTTGGTCACTCGAACCGCACCAGAGGTCGTTTGGAAACGGGCCGAGACCAAAAGCGTTTAGTGTGCACCAGGGTTCGGATGGCAGCGTTCTCACTTCACTAGGAATCGCACCATGGTTTGTTTTAAGCCAACCAAACATGCCATGTGTGAACACACTCTAAAAATAAAGGTTTAATGGTTCCATGAAGAGCCCTATCCAAAGGTTATTTAGTTTTTATTAAAATGTTGTTCACACTAAGAACAAAATGGTTAACTGAATTGTTTACTGAAAGGTTCTTTGGGAAACCCAATATATTGCAAAAACACCCATCAGCAAACCATCAGCACAATAACTCAATGCATATTACAGCTCTGTACAGACACAAATCTGAACATTGAGGAGAATGAAGGTTGTTAATCATAATATTATACACACACAGACATATATACACCCGCTTTCTTGTTCCCTTATTCTGTAATATAAAAACGACACAATCCTTCCTCGTATGACTCTGTTTATAACCAGATAAAAATATCGAGTGGGACATGATCTTCAGACATTCAGTGTGTGTGTGTGTGTGTAGCTAGTGTCCTTCATATCGGGTCAATAACAGGAGGACTGTAAGTCTATTTACAGCACTGGATTACGAGACCTGTCACAGATCTTATTGTATATTTGGCTGGATGAATTTTACAGGAATGAACTCATATCACACACACACACACACACACACACACACTAAATCCAGTGTTAGGGAAGCTACAAGCTACTCATAATTTGAAGTAGTTAAATTTACAGTCAAGCCATTTTCATGTGACAAACTGCTAAGAGCTAACTATATTGAAGCGAGTGAGGGACACAGTATCTTGATGTATGTAGCAATCAGAAGATAATTACATTAAATTTGTTATTTTCTGACATAACATAAGTCTCTTAATTAAGGTGACAGTATTATTTGACATTAAATAAAACAAATTTTCATTAATGCAAAAATAAAATAAAAAAAGAATTGAGAAAAAAAAAAGGAACAAAATCTCTTTCAATGGTTCTAAAGTAAATTCATCATTTTTAAATGCTGGTAAATGGTTAATAATATTATATTTTTTTGAATCCAAAGACTCATTATTAATTAAATAATTAATTTATTTAATTTTTGCAACAAAGAACACAATTTTTACAAGAATAAAAAACAATAAACACTATTCTAAGAGGGTTACAACTGTAAAAAATAATCCTGTAAAAAAACAGTAAACTACTGGCATGCCAGCATCATACCATAACTATATGGTCTATTACTGTTTTTGTGTTTGAGCATATATCTGTTAAATTAAAGTTTAATACTGTAGCTGACAATACAGTATTTAGCTGTTAGTTTCAAAAACAGTAACACACCGTAATTTTACAGTATGATGCTGGCAACCACAGCTGCCAGTAGTTTACCGTTTTTTTACAGGATTATTTTTTACAGTGATAATCTAAATACACTATCATATTTTTTTAAGTTTAAGAAGTACATTTTACTTTAAGAAGTACATTTTACAAGAAAACATTATTTCAGACTTTCTGCTTAATTGGTTACTTGCCATTTCTTTGTAACAACTGCTTAAATCCTACACCCATTTTTTTTCACACTTTGAGAATTACATCACTTCCTGTTGCCATGCTGACTCCGTAGACCTTTATTGATCATTCTTATGTCTTATTCTAAACCATGAGCATGTGTAAAAGACACAGCGGACTATCTGAACGTTTAGGTTACTTCCAACACTGATGAGCGTTGCAAATGAAGTACAGTGAAAGTGTGTCGTCATGAGCGGCGCGGAGGTGTGTGGTTTCAGAGGGAGTTGTGCTGCTGAGGTGTTTGGTAACAGTGAGATTAGAAGATGACAGCGTCAGAGGGCATTATTTGCCGTCTGTGGCCCAGACAGATGCCAGAGGCCCACACGCTGTGCAATTAAAGCCTAATTACATTCACACGATTAGATCAGCGCCACTGTCGTGTCTGAGATACGCTCCCACGCACAGTAACGTGCTCACACACACAAACACACACAAACACAGGCGCCAAGGTGCCTTTCAGCTGGGTATATCGCTGCTGAATTGGATGTCAATATCTAAATATCTCCTACAGGAGAAATATGAGTCTTTGCCTCATTCTGCCATACATGGTTTTCTCGGGACACTGATATGTTGTTTTCATAGGATAAGACAATGAACTCTGGGGAGAACTCTGGCTTGCTGCTTTTTCAAATGGTGACAAGCACACTACACACTTACTATTTTAGCATCAATACTATAATCAGTTTTATTAATAATTCGTTTTTATTAATTACATTTTTCCTGAGCAAGTGGCTGAAGTAAAATAAGTTATTGTTTATTTTATTTCAAATGTTTTTTATGTTTTTTTTTATAGTTTTATTTGACTGTAATAACCCGGGCTCTACACGACATTTTAATCTCCTAAGTCGATTTTTACTGCATGAACTTTTAATAATTATGAATCTGAAACCTCTATAAAAACGTTAAAATATCATACTGACATTTTCAGTGATGCTGTATGTCAAGGACACAACGAGGTCACATTAAAACTGAAATGGACTCTCACACCAAGCTCATTATGGACTACAGGATTTTTCTAATTTGATAGACTATCTAGCCTAAACTACATCACAAATCTCCCTCTACAGACCATTTATTGAATCTAAGCTTAAAAAAAAACTATTCATCATGATGATGATGATATCAGAATCATGAGCACATTTACATATGACCGATTACATTTAATATTCAGCAGCTCGGCGTGGGCGTTGTTCATTTCCCATCGCACATGTGAAGAGGTTAGCCAATCACAACAGAAGTCAGCAGCAAAAACAGCCTGTTTAATTCTCAGGTCAGAGGGGGGTGGAAGCTTGTTTCCGCCACAGAATAAAAAATAAAAAATGTAATTTCGAATCTCACAATTCTAACTTTATTTCTCAGAAATGCGAGATATAAAGTCGCAATTGCATGTGATAAAGTCAGAAATGCATGATATAAAGTGGAAATTGCATGTTGTAAAGTCAGAATTGTGAGATATAAACTATTCTGTATCTCACAATTCTGTTTTTTAGAATTGACCTGATAACTCAATATACTCGCAATTATGTTATAAAGTCAGAATTGCGAGATGTAAATAGTCAATTCTGTCTTTTTTCTCAGAATTGTGACTTTATATCTCGCAACTGCAACTTTATTTCTCAGAATTGCGACTTTGTATCTCGCAATTGCGACTTGATTTCTCAGAATTGCGACTTTATATCTAGCAATTGCAACTTTATTTCTCAGAATTGCGACTTTATTTCTCAGAATTGCGACTTGATTTCTCAGAATTGCGACTTTATTTCTCAGAACCGGGACTTTATATCTAGCAATTGCAACTTTATTTCTCAGAATTGCGACTTTTTATCTCTCAATTGCGACTTTATTTCTCAGAATTGCAACTTTATTTCTCAGAATTGCGACTTTATATCTCGCAATTGCAACTTTATTTCTAAAGATTGCGACTTGATTTATCAGAATTGTGACTTTATTTTTCAGAATTTATGACTTTATATCTTGCAATTCCGACTTGATTTCTCAGAATTGTGACTTTAT